GAACCGCTTGGCCAGGAAAGATGAAATTCATGTGGAATCATCCTCAGGTAGTTTAGATTCAAGTTTGTTCAAATCATGACCCCCGGGGCAAGGGTGGAGCAAAAATGTCCGACCCAAGTTTTACATAGGAATATATAGGAAAAATCTTTTAAAATCTTCTTCTCCAGAACCACTGGGCCAGGAAAGCTGAATCTTATGTAGAGTCATCCTCAGGTAGTGTAGATTCAAGTTTGTCCAAATCATGACCTCTGGGGCAAGGGTGGGGCCAAAATGGCCGACCTTAGTTTTACATAGGAATACATAGGAAAAATCTTTAAAAATCTTCTTTTCAAGAACCACGAGGACTGAAAAGATGAAACTCATGTGGAATCATCCTCAGATAGTGTAGATTCAAGTTTGTTCAAATCATAACCCTGGGGTAAGGGTGGGGCCAAAATGGCCGACCCAATGTTTTCATAGGAATATATAGGAAAAATCTTTAAAATTCATCTTCTCCAGAACCACTGGGCCAGGAAAGATGAAACTCATGTGGAATCATCCTCAGGTATTGTACATTCAAGTTTTTTAAATCACGACCCCCGGCCCTGGGGATAGGGTGGGGCCAAAATGGCCGACCCAAGTTTTACATAGGGATATATAGGGAAACCTTTTAAAATCATCTTTTCAAGTACTTCAAAGCTATGATTAGTGATACCCGGGGTATTTATATGGATTCATTCTCAGGTAGTGTAGATTCTAGTTTGTTCAAATGATGAACGCCTGGAAGGGGGAGTAAATTCAAGCCCGATGTGCTCAGGTGAGCGCTGTGGCCCCTGGGCCTCTTGTATAGAAATAAAGAGGAAAATTCTTTAAAAATCTTCTTCTCAAGAATAGCAAAGCCATAATTGATCATATTTATATGGAAGCATCCTCAGGTAGTGTAGATTCAAATTTGTTCAAATCGTGACCCCCGGGGGTAGGGTTGGGCCACAATGGCCGACCAACGTTTTGCATAGAAGTATATAGGAAAATTCTTTAAAAATCTTCTTCTCAAGAACAGCAGAGCCATAATTGCTCAAATTTTTATGGAAGCATCCCCAGGAAGTTAAGA